CCGGCAAGACAACGCACTCGCGGCTCGATGGTTAGAGCGTTGGACTCGAGCGGTGCACCACTTGGGGTTGGGTGTCACTGGCTGACGATGGCCATTCCAATCTCCCTGGCTTTTGCCGCCAATATTTGTCACTACTATCGCTTCTCCCACCCTTGTCTTTTCCCGCTAGTTCATACTCTTGTTGTTTGTTTTTACATCTGCAGATGTCGAAGAGTCTTGGAAATGTGCTCAGTCCGTCAGCGGTGATTGAACACTTCTCGGCCAGAATGCAGAATGCCAGTGACGCAGGCAGGACTTATGAAGACAGCAAGCTGCGGCCGATTGCTGCCGACTGTCTGCGCTACTGCCTCGTTCGCAGTGTCTGTCTCAACGAAGATTTCACCTTCAACCTGGCTCATGCCGAACGTACAGTCAATGCGGAACTGGTTAATCCTCTGGGTAATTTGTTGTCCAGGTGAGTTGCCGCGATTCAAGACCTCGTCAGCCGATGGTTTCATGGTGGTAGATACCTAACATGGTGTGCTCGCGCGTCGTGGACAGCCTTGACTACCACGGTACCGGTGAGGGTGCAATTGTTGCTTTTGCTGCATCTAGCTTACTCCATCTCCACATTGTCATAGCAGCGAGGCCGGATTAAGGCAACTATGCACACTGGCCAATGGGCCTGAAAAGACTCTCGCGTTGGCGCCTAGCTCTTCACTAGTCCGCATTCGATTCCGTTCGCTGAACCTTCCTGGAGAGCCCTCGGCTTCGAAGAGATCCCAGAGGAGCTTTATCTCGTTCCGTTTGGCGGTTGGCATGCTGCAGTGGGCTTTTACCCGTCATTAGAGCGTGCAGTGGGTGATTGCTATTGTAATCCAGTATTTTCGACATATTTGTCGTTTTACGACATACAGACGTCGCCATTTTACCGTCCGGTTGGCGGCAGACGAGAATTTCCAGGAACGGAAGTCGTCTTTTGTAGATCTGACAAAATCGGATTCAGTCGCTCTTTGTAGTGGTTGATGCTACCCTGGTTGATGACAACAAAAGTGTCATCAGTGTAACGTGCCTAAAATTTGGGTTCGCTTTATTCGAACAACCGTCTCGAGTATTGTAGTACACTCTCGGCAATGAGCCCAGAGATTGGGGGACTCCATTGGCGTGCCGTTGATTTGCTCATATGTGATTCCTTCGAATTTGAAGAAGATCTTGAGGCAATGTTCCATGCGTCCTATGGGATCCTGAGCTGTTGGCTGACCTTATTTCTCATCGTTATCCTGACGTCAAAGGTCACGGATGGTTTCGACACCAAGGGTCGGTGGTATGGACTTTAAGAGTGAGGTAGCGTCAAATGACACCATCCTTTCATCCGGCTCAGCTCTAACCGTCTTTATTTTGTTCTACCGAGTGAATTGTCGTTTGTGAAAGAACTTCATCTTCTGGAATAGCCAGCTTGCGAGCCGGTGTGTAGGCGTGTCTCGGAGGGAGACAATTGGCTGTAGGGGAAAGTCGGACTTATGCACCTTTGTAAAGCCGTAGAATCGTGTTCCGGCTGCTTCGGTAGGCTTAGCCATGTACCGATCCTTGTCGATGAAGACCTTTTTTCTTTAGTTGACCCAGAGTTCTGCTCACCTTTGTCAGTAGTTGTATTGGACCGGCGACGTCGCTGACTCTCCTAGACTCCCAATCATTGAGGAGCGTTCAGATTTTGTTTTGGTAGTCTGAAGGTATTGGCAGGTATTGGAAGGGACCTTGGTGAAGTTGGACCACTTTATCTCTTAGATAGCCGCTGCAGCTATGCTGTGCGAACGCACGAATGCGAGTGGCAGGTCAAGTTTGCCGAGTAGGCCGTTGATGCCGAACTGTAGCAGCTTAAAGCTAGGCGGTGTGGCCAGGTTAAAAACTTGAGCATTTGTGTGGAATGCAGGAAGGGCAGGTAGAGACACGGGACACCTGGGGCAGGCGAAGGCGAGCGACCAATCGTCAGGGTTGGCGAGGTCACTGCAGCGGAGATGGCACCAACCATTGCAGGAGCTGCAACGTACAGAAGAGTCGCGGCGGCCCAGGCGGTCTTG